GTCGGGACCTGCTGGGGTGCAGGGGCCGCGAAAGCTGTTCCTCGGCGGGCAGACGAGCGGCTGCGCCAAGCGCGGTCCGCGGCTGCCCCTCTGGGGCGGCCCGCCGCTGCGCCACTGTCCGTGCCTGCGGCTGTCATGCCGCTCCGGCCAGGCGACGCTCACCCCTCGACCCCCAGCCGTCTGGCACAAGCCTGGCCCCTCCAAAACTGGGGATCAGACCCCCAAAGACCCTCACGTCATGCCGCCCGCCACTTGGTGCAGCATCTCCAGGCGCCGCGTCCACGAGAGCCACTTCACGTGCTGTAGGTGGTGGTCGTGGTGGTGGTGGGGGAGGGGGAGGGGCAATGCGGGCGCCACGGCCCGGTCAGCCTCGGCTCAGAAGCTGGACGCCGGCTGCCCATCGCTGCATCACACAGTCGCATGGATGGCCGCGGCGCGGCCATCCATGCAACAGGCCGCCTGTAATCTGCTGCTGCTGCCGGAACACAGTTCTAAGCAGCGAACTGACAGCCAAGCTTGTATCCGCATGGGCTGGCCCGCCTCGCAAGCCGCACACCCGACTACTCCTTTGAGCTCACATTCTCTCAAGCCCTTGCTCCCCCCCCACACTCACACCCCACATGCACCCCCTCCCCCAAACACACACACACGCGCGTGTGCGCCTGCGTGGGAGGCACAGGGTCGCACCCTCTGGCTGGATTTCTTTGACTCCAGCTGCTTTCGGGCCTTCTGCAGCAGCACGCAGAGGGACCCGTTCCTGAGGTACTCAGTCACCACCAGAGGCGGCCGCAGGCATACGCCGCTGCGAGGGGGGGGGCAGGGTTTCGGGGTCTCAACCGCGGCGGTTGTGGCGCCAGGTTCCGAACGGGCGAAGCGGGTAGCCGTGATCGGCAGGACACCTGAAAGGCGCGTACCGTGTGCTGGGCAGCCGCTGGCAGAGGCCGCGGCTGCCAGGCGCACGTGTCCGGACCCTGCGGGTCTCAGCTGGCACTGTGCGTCATCGTGTTCTCGAGGGTTGTGGTTCCCGGACCTCACCAGAACCGGACCATGTTGGGGTGCATGTTCAGGGTGGTAAGTGTCTTGACCTCCCGCAGCAGGGACTCCTGGGGTTGGGGGCGGTGGCGGTGTACGCAAGGGGCGGCCAGCTGGCTGGGTCAGCAGCAACGTCAACACACAAGCCTCCCCCTCCACACATACACGCAGGCACACACACTCACACGCACGCGCGCATGCACACGTGAAAGCACGCGCAACAGCAGACGCGATGAACCACCCCCATGGTCCTGAATTTCACCACCAGCAGCGCCCACGCAGACGCCCTCCTGCCCCTGCAAGCCTCACGTGGGCGCGCGTCTCCCCGCCCCCTCGTTATCCACAGTGCTGTGGCGGCTCACCAAGTCCTTGGAGCACGCCTTGGCCGCCACCTCGATGTGGTTCCAGCGCCCCAAAATCACGCGCCCCTCCGCGCCCTGCCTGATGGTCTGGATCAGGGTGAGCTCCTCTGCCGGGATGACCTGGGGTTGGGGCCGGGGCCGCGGGTTTCAGGGGCGCGACGGGGAGCGTCACGATGGAGGGCTGGGGGCGCCGGGGGCGCATGGTTGGTCTTGCGCGTATATGCAAGCGCATGTGCAAGCCAGCACTGGAGCAAGTGAAAATGCACGCATGCAAAAGCGCGCGTGCACGCACACGCGTGCGCGTGCGTGCGCGCACACACACACACACACACACACACACACACACACACACACACACACACACACAATACACACACACCTGCGTAAGAGAGATGATTGCGTCCAGGGCTCCCCCCAGGGTGCTGTTGTCTGTCAACAGCCCGCCACCCTCGCCCCTGCCGCCCCCAGCCTCTCCCCACTGCCCCGCCAGCGCCGCCGACGGCTCCTGCGGCGCACCCGCCGTGCCCTCCGACAACAAGGCTGACGGCGCCATAGACGCAGCCATCGACGGCGGCGGGAACGACATCGGTGGCGGGGCCACGCCCCACGGCGGCGGGGGCCCGGCGTGAGGCGCGGAGGGCTGACGCATCACGAACGGCTGCGCGAGCGGGTTGGGGGCGCTGCAGCCCGCCGGCACGGGCATCATGTTGCCGAGCGCCCCAGAGGCGGAGCCGTAGGAGCTCTGCGCTTCAGCCAGAAGGGGAGCGCTAGCGCCGGCACCAAACATCCCCGCGAAGGGGCTCTCCTCGGGTGTCGCTGGCACGGCCAAGCCGAAAGCATCCCCTCCTCTCGCGCCCCCCGGGGGGGCGATCGCGTACGCAGCTGCGGACGAGAGGCCCGTCGAGTCTTCTGAATCCAGCCCACCCGCTCCCCCCGCCGAGCCAAAGGCGCCAAAGAACGGACTGTCAGCTGCCGTCGCCGGCCCCGCAAACAGCGGGCTGTCCGCTGCGGCGGCCGGGGCGCCGGGGCCGCCGCCCGGTTGCAGGTCGCCCATGGCGGCGTCGGGCGGGGCTTCGGCGGCGTCGGTGGCGCTGCCGCTGATAAAAGGGCGGTCAAAGTCGGCGGTGGGTGAGCCTGGGCCGCCGCCGGCCGCGCCGCCTGCCCCGGCATTCGGACTCAGCGGCCCCGCGCTGGCGTCGCCCTCCAGGGTCCCCGCGGTGAAGAAAGGGCTGTCGTCAGGCGCGGCGGGGCGCCCGTCGACGGCAGCCGCCAGCACCACGGCAGGCGGGGTGGCAGCAAAGGCCGAAAAGAAGGGGCTGTCCTGCGCTGCAACGGGCCCCGCGCCGCCGCTGCCGCTGCCGCTGCCGCTGCCGCTGCCACCGCCGCCGCCGCCGCCGTCCCTACCGGCGCAGTTGAGGCTGCTGCGCAGGCTGGCGGGGGCGGTGATGGATACGGAGTTGCCCTCTGCGGGCGCCTCTTGGATCGTCAGCAGCGCGGCTTCGTCCACGATAGTCTGCCAAGTTGGTGGCAAAAGAAGAATTGAGCAGATAGGTTGGTGGAGCGAAGGGTGTGGGGCAAATGGCATCAAGGGGCGACAGGCAGGATGTGCGTAAATAGCGGAGTTGCTGCGCCCAAAAGCAGCGCCGTAAGGAATGGCATGGAGTGGGCGAAGGGGCCTCGAAAATGCGAGCACCAGCAGGAGCCCCACCTGCTGCACTCCCAGGCGCATTGCGATCTGGTCAAACGTCGGCCGATTGTCGGGGTTGGCGTCCCAGCACTCCTTCGGGTTTGGGTGGGAACAGGCGGCAGAGAGTGGGGTTTGCGGGGCCCTGAGCGCCAGCACCGTTGCCACCGCGCTGGTGCGACTTGAGTGTTTTTGCCAGGGTGCCATTGATGATGCGACACACCTGTACCCCAGACCTTGCTAGCTTGCACGCGGATGCCTTGGAAAGCAGGTGCAGACACTCATGCGCTCACGCCCACGTGCGCGCCTGCGCGGGGGCGCACGCACGTACGCGATATATGCGCAGGTCGCCAGAATCGACCCACCTTCATCAACTCAATGTAGAGTTCCAGGCGCTTGCCCCCGGGTGACCCGGGCAGGTCGCTCTCCGGCGGGATGAGGGGCCGCTCGTCCTCGACGCCCACGCGCATGTATACCTGGGAGGAATGCAGGTGTATCGCACGTGAATGTGCGCACATGCGTCTGTGTGACTCACGTTGCTGTGAACGGCTCGTGGGTGAGTGACAGATGCACGTGTGGGCGCTGTATGCATGCGGGGATGCGCACTTGGGTGCGGACCGTCTCATGCGGACGCACTGCACGCCACTCAGGATCTGGCTCATTTGATCCCGCCAACTCTCTTTCCTTCAAAATTCCAGCAACCAATCCACCTGAACACAGCCCATCCATCTCAGCTGAAACCGCTTATGCACCCATCCAACCCCCCACCCCTCTCCACCGCACCCCACTGTACCCTGCTCCAC